GATATATATATATATATATATATATATATATATATATATATATATTGCTCGGTATATGAAAATATTCTTTGTAAGCGGATTCTTCTTGGAATTGTTCCCGAGTCAAATAGGACGTGAACGCTAAAACTCGGCCTGTCGACGACGACGTGATGGCACGCCTCCACGACTCTGTGAATCACTCCGCCGTGGATGTCGGACATCCATCCACTCGCTTCACTCGCTTTTTCCGCCAGTCGAAATGGTGTGAATCTCGATGTGATTATTATTCTTTTTTTTTTTTTTATCTGGTTTGATTGTTTCTTAAAATCCATGACGTGAGTTACCGTGGTCGGCTAGAGCCATTGGGGGCCTGGTGTTCGTCGTAGTGTTAGTGTAATCGGGGGGTGTCATGTGCTGCCTACAACCGACGGGGTAGGAGGTAGTGTGCTGGTCGATCAGTGTCGTCTCAATGGTCGTCAAATCCTGGAAAGGCGTCGTCGGCAGTGACGCCGCGCTCTGCCTCTTGATGGCAGTCAATATCTCACGCAGCTGGCTCACCTGGGAGCAAGTCAGGTCAGGAGGGAACCATCTGTGTCCCTATGTCTTTATCTTTCTTTCTTTATCTTTCTCTCCTCCTCTCTCTCTCTCTCTCTCTCTCTCTCTCTCATTTTTTCTCACACTCTCACACCCCATCACTTTATCGGAATGAACCACGCGCTTGGAAATCTATGGAGCGACAAGATGTCTATACGAGAAAAATCATCTATATTATAAAGTGGATGATAGTGATCGATAATGGAAGCTTTGATAATAAATTTTTGAATTAAAAAAAAAAAAAAAAAAAACAATTTTCTCATCTTGTATCTAATTCTAATGATGATTTTTATTTTTGTGCGTGTTATTTCCGACTGCGAATTAATCATATTTAGCGTTCAGAATAAGATACGTGATAAAAAAATTTGGACAACGTGATTTGTGAATGATGAAGTGGAATAAATGAATTTTTCTCGATTTAAGACAGAGTCTGTATATCCGAATGTTCCGTCTATCGAGATCTCGTGACTGCGAAGAGCACATCGATAAAGCACATCGAACATATCAACAATCAGAAACAGTGGAGGGTATCGGTGTCCTCTCCTGTGTATGTTAACCTTTCGAAAAAAAAAAAAAAAAAAAAAAAAATAAAATAAAATAAAATAAATCTCAGATTACTTACCTGAGAGGCGAGCTGTCGCAGCCGTTCCGTTTCTTCCGGTGTCGCGTCTCGGCGCGCCGCGACCTTCACTTGGGCGACATCCCCGTAAAAAGATTCCGATCTGGGTGAGAAAGCCATGGTCAGCTGGTGCAACTCCTGCAACGAATTTGAACAGGCACAGTAGCACGCGACACCGCAGACCTCCCATTGTTCTGGAGTAAGGAGTGGCCCGCTGCTCACCAGAACGTGCCTGTCAAAACACAGATTTTTAATATATCTTTGTAAAAACCGTTCGCAAGTAGTTCACTTGTTTATTCTTAAAATAATAAATAATCGCTAAATAATAATGATAGAAAGGTTTAGGTCTATTCTCTATACTCTATTCTTTTTTTTTTTTTTTTTTTTTCTTATAAAAATTGAAAACTCGCAGTTTAAGGAGCTAAGGTTTTAACAATATCTACATTGAGACCACCGTTGTTCCGCAATAAATCTTACAAGGACACAGGCAACGACCGGTGAATCGGTAATCAGATTTCTACCGTGCTACCGTGTCAACGATAAAATCGACCAATCGCCTTCCGAGCGATCTGTCAGACGATCCGAAGCGCCCTTTCATCGCTATTGCGATCAAGCGAGAATCACCCGATCTGCTTGGATTATGCTACGTAAGTGGGTTATCTATCTACACCGGGCGACGCTAGAATTTCAGATCGGGATACCGTTCGGCTCGTCGTTCGCGTACGCGCGAACCTGCTCCGTTTTTAAATTCCGGCGTGCAACACGTGTACATCGATACCTCGCGATCGGCACCGATTCGCGGGATCGTATTACCGCACTCCGATCCGGTTGGACGTGTCTACCGTGCACATTAATATAGAGAAAATACGCCGATGATTTCCCCAGGTAGATGCAACGTGTGCAATCGTTGGCACGACGCTCCGAGGGTGTCGGGTGTCGGTGGCTACTTTATCCCATCAGACAGCCTGTCAAGCTTCGTTATCGTCTTACACGCGCGCTCCGTAATATATATATATATATATATACTACCCTAACTTAACGTCCGCCGCGAGATGCATTCCATCAAACTTGACTCTCCGTTCACCCCGAAAAACTGAAAGTTGGAACGACAGAAGCGATACGGTACAAATATAATGGCATTACCGTAGTACAGAGTTATGCAGAGTTTTCAAAAGTAGTGGAAACGGTCAGACAACTTGTCAGGGATGCATTAAAAAAAAAAAAAA